ATCTTTTAGTTTGAAGCCAGCCTGGTCTACAGAGATCCAAGACAACCATGGCTGCACAGTGAAATGGTCTTGTGAAGCCGGGGTGTGGAATTTAGACGGAAAGATGCAGCTTAGTGGCAGTGTTTATCCACTAAACTTGAGGCCTTGGGTTCAATCTGGGGTAGCAGCCCACTCCAAAATTGTTTTATAGTGGGTGTGCTGGCTAGTTGTATGTCAACTTGCCACAAAGGAGAGTGATCATAAAAGAAGGAGCCTTGCTTGAGAAAATACATCTATAATACTGTGGTGTATGCAGCCTGTAGGTCATTTTCTTCATTAGTGATTGATGGGGGAGGGACCAGTACATTGTGGGTGGTGCCACCCCTGGGCTAGTGATCCTGGCTCTGTAAGTAAGCAAGCTGCACAAAGGGAGGAAGCTACTATGCAGCACCCCTCCATGGCCTCTGCATCAGCTCCTGCCTCAAGGTTCCTGCCCTGTTTGAATTCCTGTCCTGACTTCCCTGGATGATGGACTGTGATGTGCAAGTGTAAGCTAATGAACCATCTACTCCTCAAGTTGCTAGGATCATGGTGTTTCAACACAGCAATAGTAAAGTAACCCTGACTAAGACATTGGGGATATATATATATATCAGTTGTAAAAATATAGGTTCAATCCTCAGTACTCCCTCACTAAACATACATACATACACACACACACACACACACACACACACACAAACACAAACACATACACACAAAATTATCCCTTGCTGGGGCTGTAACTCAGTTAGTAGAATGTTTGCCTAGCAGGCATGATGAAGCACTACATAAATTGGATGTGGCCTGTGTAACCCAGGCTGACCAAAAATTCAGAGTATCTCCCTGGCTCAGCCTCTCAAACGATAGAATTACAGGAGTGGACCACCAATCTTAGATTTATTGATACTTATTGAAAGAAAAATTAAACCAGGGCTACACAGAGAAACCCTGTCTCGAAAAAAGACAAAAAAAAAAGAAGAAAAAAAAGAAAAGAAAGAAAAATTAAACCAGGGCTACACAGAGAAACCCTGTTTCGAAAAAAGACAAAAAAAGAAAAGAAAGAAAAATTAAGCTTCCGCATTCAAGATGTTCACAGTTTAATGAAAAGGGCTGAAATATAAACCATGCCAATATATGCCAATATATATGCCAATGTGCTAATAAGTTCATGTCAATCTACCTTACCCTAGGGATCAGAGAAAAGTTCAAGACTTAAAGAGCTGAAAATATCAAGCGCACTGGTGCACAGTCATAATCCCAGCACAGCTGAGGTGGCCAATGTTGGCTATAAAATGAAGTCAAGATCAGCATACACTTGAGACTCTAAAAACAACACACAGAAAAAGGAGTAGAGACCCTCAGGTAAATAGGGGTATGGTGGTAAGGAAGAGGGAAAAGTTCCTCCAGCAAAGTGGAGCTATCTGTACAAGTGTAGAAGACCAGGAAAGGCAGATAACTCAGCATACCTGACACAGAAAGAAGGTATAAGGACTGGAGCTCAGAGCCTAGCACCCATGTCAGACAGCCCACAGAGGCCCATAACTCCAGCTGCAAGGGAATCTGACCTTATCTTATGGCATCTTCAGGCAACCCTACACACATGTACAATTCCTCACAGAGATACACATACGTAAATAAAATAAAAATTATTTTAAGACAAGATCATGGCTGAATATGTAGCTCATTTGGTAGTGCTTTGTTCAGAGCACTTGCTGTTCCTGCAGAGACATGGGTTCATTTTCCAGTACCCACATGGTAGTTCACAGCTGTCTATAACTCTACGGTCAGATCTGACACCCTCTTTCAGCCTCTGTGGGCATTGCATGCACATGTCACACATGCTACTTATGTGCATAAAACATGCATACGTGTTTTCTTTTAGTTGTGTGTATATACTTCTATGTATAGGTATTTGCATGAGGTGCCCACAGAGGCCAGAGCAACAAGAGTCCCTGTAGCAGGAGTTACAGGAGGCTGTAAGCTGTCTGTGTGAGTGCCAGGAAGTAAACTTGGTTCCTCTGCAGAAGTAGTACACAACACTGAGCTATCTCTTCAGCCCCCAAAATAAATAAATCTAAGAATACAAACTTTAAAAAGCCTTGGGGGTGTAGGGGAGCTGGAGAGGTGGCTCAGCAGTTCAGAGCACTGACTGCTCTTCCAGAGGTCCTGAGTTCAATTCCCAGCGACTACATGGTGGCTCACAACTATCTGTAATGGGATCTGATGCCCTCTTCTGGCTTGTCTGAAGACACTGACAGTGTATGCATGTACATAAAACAAATAAACAAATAATTCTTTTTAAAAAGAAAAAAAAAGCTTGGGCTGATACAAGGCTGGTTGAAGCAGAATATAAAGGCTAGAGAAGCCCTTTTTATATTCTACAAAGTAGGTTAAGAGGTTTCCAGGTTCTCCCTGTTAGCACTCCTGCAAGCATAAAAATGGGTCAACAGGGCCCTGTGCACTGCAGGCAAGCAGTCCACCACTGAGCTACCTATCTAGCCTGGAACACTGACTTCTGTTAACAGTATTTGCTACTCTTGCATAGTAGTTGATACACACAGCAGAAACGAAGTTATTTAAAGCTTACAGTGAATACTGCTACTATCTCACTATACTACCTTTCCCCCTGTATAGATTTCTGACATAAAAACATGGACTTTTGGGAAACACTTTCCCCAATTAAAAATAAAAGAAACACTGAGTTACAATTTCCCCAATATTTATTTGTGGTTGTGCTTGGATCTTGCTTACAATAACTTCCTTTGGTATACATAAAAAAGAACAGGCTAGCCAGGCAGTGGTGGCGCACGCCTTTAAACCCAGCACTTGGGAGGCAGAGGCAGGCGGATTTCTGAGTTCGAGGCCAGCCTGCTCTACAGAGTGAGTTCCAGGACAGCCAGGACTACACAAAGAAACCTTGTCTTGAAAAACAAAAAAACAAACAAACAAACAAACAAAAAGGCTAAAGGTCAGTCAGGCAAGTAGTTAGTGCAATATATTTCCAAAATCTCAACAGTGGGCAGGAATAAAAGGGAGTTAGAATTAGACTATCTAAAAAAAAAAGTATTGGCCAGGTAGAGGTGGTCCATGCCTTTTATCCCAGCAATTAGGAGGCAAAGGCAGGTGTCTCTCTGAGAGTTCAAGGCCAGCCTGGAATTACGTACCAAAACTTGTCTCAATAACGTCTTCTGTGGACATTCAGACAATACCAATATATTGGGCAAAATCTGAAAGCATTTCCCTTACCAATATTACTAAATGCCTAGAGATAGCAGCTCTTAAGGGACAGTCGCGTGTCTTACAGAATTTTGAGTTTTCCTATAAATTTACATACACTTTCGAATATGGCTTAAAAACAGGATTTTAAGGGTAAAAAAACAAATGTATTACTCTGCATGTTGTTGTCTACAAAGAATGACTGGGGATTATCCCCCCCCACACACACAAAAAACCCATAGCAGGCACTAGACAGCTCATGTTAAGAGCTCTTCTTTTGCACAGCATTGGTTCCTAGTTCCCACATGACAGGTCACAACTGTCCTCAAGTACAGTTCTAGGGTATTGAACACCTTCTTTGGGCCTCCATGAAGGCAGTAAGCACACATACATGCAGTGAACACTCAAAAAGATAGAAAAGCTGTAACAATTTCTGGCCCAGCAAAAAGGCTGCTCACTAGATTGTATCTTTGATAATTGTATATTTTTATTTTCCTTTTAACCGACTTCCCTAATTTAATATTTTTGTTTGCTAGTTTTTCGGTGTTGTTGTTTTCAAATAGGGTCTCATGTAGCCCAGACTAGTTTCTTAACTCAATCAGTAGCCAAGGATGACCTTGAATTCCTGAACCTCTTTCACTACAGTGTTTTGAATACACACATGCCCACCATACCAGGCTTGGCTTAGTTTTTAATCTTATGAAATAATTCAAATACTCAGACAGATACAAAAATTAGTTTATTTATTAACTTAACTGCAATGCTTAACTGGTATTTCAAAAATGTACTCATAAGTTTTGTGTATTAAAGGAAGTTCAGAATGCACAGGAAATGGCATTAGAATGAATGGATTTAGTCTACTTTAACTACAATAGTTAACTGTAAACCTAGGGCTGCTCTTCCTTACTTATAAAATTGAAGGGTATAAATAATTATCACTAGTCTTTTAAAGCTCTATGAGTATATGGTTCTAAGTCACAAATGTTCAAAAACAGAGGGCTAAGATCCATCTACTCGGACTGCTAAACATCAAGCTTAAAAAAAAAAAAAAAAAAAAAGCTGGGCGTCCCAGCTCACACCTGTAACGTCAGCACTTAGAAGGCAAACGACTGTCATAAAGTCGAGTCCAGAACGGGCTATAGGGGGAGAATGCTTCAAACAAAACAGAACAACAACAACAAAAAAACAGAAAGGAATTCGAATATTGTATGTTTTCTACATCTCAAAGACTGTCCGTTCTACAAATGGGGGGGGGGGTTCTCGTTTGCTCATTCTTGATTCGTTTCCGTCAAAGAACACAGGTTAACACGCTTTACACATTCTGAACGCTTGAAAAACGGGCATGAAAGTGGCATCATCTCATTCATCTAGTTTTCCCACTCCTGGGCTGACATGGTAGACAGCTCTCACACACGTCCGAGGGAGCTACACATAGTCGACAGCAGAACCTTGCATTATTATACTCTCTGGGTAGCAAAACGAGCTCCTCAGCCCAACACCCAAAGCGGTCCGAGCTCCAGGAGTGTCACAACTTGTAGCTGCACATTCCCCAGCTGCTGGAAGCCAGCTGGTCACCTACTCCAGCCTGCTTTTGGATTCGAAACCCTCTAACTCAAGAAGTTGCAGCTCCCGCTTTTGTGAAGCCAACTTCCTCCCAACCGCGGAATCCAAGTCACGCCCAGCACAGATCCCTGGGAAGGGGCGAGCGGACCCTCGCTAGCACAAGTCGAGAAAGTCCCTGCCGCCGGCAGGCGTCGCCTCACCTCCTTCTTTCTTTGGGCAGAGGCCGAAGGAACCTTGGAAACGAGCAGCAGTGCCACCGCTGCAGTTGCACACACACACCAGAGCCATCTCGGCGAGGCCATGTTCGCTCGTCTCTCTCGGCGGCGGGGCGAAACTTTCTTCCAACACGGTCCGAGGGTGGGGCGTGAGAACGGGCGAATAGAGCCCTTGCCGCTCCCCATTGGCTCGGCTCAGCCCTGCCGCGCGACACCTCGCATTACGTCACACGTAGCAGCCGCCCGCTTAAAAAAAACAGTTCTTTTCCGATTGGTTCCCGACAGCCAATAGAAAAAGGATAATCTGGAGGTTTCTTATTGGTCCGCTGTAAAGGCTGCACCGCTCCTTTCATACGTGTAACGACAGCGCTCAGCGAACATTCAATACACATGCGCAGGTTTGAAATGTTGCTGGATTTTTTGGGGGGGAGGGGAGAGGAGGCACAAAATGGCTTTTACATTTAAAAATGGAATCGTCCTCCAGAAAGCGTTCTTTTAGAATTGTTTGAATTTTAGCCGGCCTAAGTAACGCAAGCCTCTAATCCACGCATTTGTAATGTGAAAGCAAGAGCACAAATTGTTCAAGGTCATCTTTGGCTCCATTGTCAGGATCCCAAGGCCACCTGATCAATGTAAGATTGTCTCAAAGATAAAGGAGTCCTCGTGATTTCTCACAACCAAAATTCCAGCATTTGGGAGGTGGAAGTGGAGGCGGGACGATTAGGAGTTTAAGAATTCAAGAAACCTTCAGCATTCCATTCTAGCCTGGGCTCTTACAGAGGTCCGAGGAAATTACATGGTCGACAGCAGAAGTTTGCATTATATCTTCTGTCTAGCAAAACAAATTCCTCATCCCCAAACCCAAAACTGACAACGCCCAAAACATCCAAACATCTTACATCAAAAGTGTTTTATTGTTGTTGTTGTTGATAACTACTTCTTTGGTAGGGGGCTGGAGAAATGCCTCAATGGTTGAGAACATTTAACTGTTTTTGGAGGACCCACATGGTGGTTAACAACCTAGTTCCAGGGGATCTGATGCCCTGTTCCGACCTTCACAGAGACCAGGCACACACCCGGTGCACATACATGCATGCATGCAGCCAACACACACGCGCGCGCACGCGCGCGCGCACACACACACACACACAACCACACTCCAATCTTTTTTTCAAGCGCATGCTATTGTTGAAGATGGCTCAAGTACTGTCCCCATGACTGGAACTCCTCATCAAGCTGCTTTGGTCTTGGTGTTTCAACATGGCAACAGTAACCCTGACTAAGACACTGGGGATATATAGATCAGTTGGTAGGATGTTTAACCATTATTTGTAAACACATGGATTTAATCCTCAATATTTCCTCAGTACACACACACTATAATTTGGATTTATTTATTTATTCATTTTGCAGCACAGGACAAAGTAAAGGATTGAGTAAAGGATTCCACACAAGCTACATCCAAACCCTAAGGTGCATTTATTTTGAATTAGATCCTGCCGGAAAGCAAAAATCCCACAGAATTATAATTCATAATTATAATTATAATTCCACTATTTGGAGAGCTAAGGAGATAGATGTTGAAAGGAAAGTAACTGCTTTAAAAGGGAGAGGGACTGGAGAGATGGCTCAGAGGTTAAGAGCACTGGCTGCTCTTCCAGAGGGCTTGAGTTCAATTTCTGGCAACCACATGGTTGGTGGCTTACAGCCATCTGTAATGGGATCTGGTGCCCTCTTCTGGCCTGCAGGCATACATGCAGGCAGAATGCTGTATAAATAATAAATAAATAAATCTTTTTTAAAAAGGAAGGAAAATTATTGGTCTCAACATAAAGAGATATGAAATAAGATGAGCACGGCGGAGTATGGCTGTAATCCCAGTACTCAGGAGATAGAAGCAGGAGGATATCAGGGTTTAATACCAGTCTAGGCTGCATAGGGAGTTCCTCCCTGAGCTACAAGAGACCCTGTCTCAAACCAAACCAAACAAGACAAAACAAACAAAAAGACATCGAGAAAAGAAGAAATGAGGGGAGAGAGAGGGGGGGAAGATAGGCACACGTGGTGGCACATCCCTATAATCCCAGCACTTGGCAGATTAAAGCAGAAAAAGCACAACTTTGAGGCCCACTTAGGTTACATTGTGAGTCCCTGATTCAAAGAAGTGGAAAAATGCATGTGAAAATAGGATATGAAAAAATTGGCGGGCAGTGGTGGCACACACCTTTAATCTCAGTACTTGGGAGGCAGAGGGAGGCAGATTTCTGAGTTCGAGGCCAGCCTGGTCTACAGAGTGAGTTCCAGGACAGCCAGAGCTACACAGAGAAACCTTGCCTTGAAAAACCAAAAAAAAAAAAAAAAAAAAAAGAAAAGAAAAGAAAAAAGAAAGAAAAGAAAAAATAGGATATGAAAAAATTAAGCTGGGACTCATAGGTCAGTTTAATTCCTGCTTCTTGGGAACCTGAGCCAGGAGGATTGTAAGTTCAATGCCTGTCTCTACTTTAGGGTGAGTTAAGAGCCAATATGGGCAACTTGGTGTGAGCTTATCTCAAAATTTAAAAAGAAAAATGTTAAAATGGTTAAATTATAGGTATGTCAGCTCACATCTATAATTCCAGCACTTGGGAGACTGAAGCAGGCAGCTTGCCATGAGAATGAGGCCAGGCTTGGCTACATAGTAAATTCCAAGTTAGCCTGGACCACAGGATGAAATATTGTCTTAAAGAAACAAACACAAAAATAAACAAACAAGCATACCAAATAAGCACAGTTTTTTTAGTATCTTTGTTTTATGCTCACTCAGGTTGCTTTCAGCATATGCAGTAGAGTGATCATATGGTACAGAATCACCAATGAATACAAAACATAGTGGATAAAAGGCTGATGCGGAACAGGATACTCATAATACATTGTCCACAAGTTACACTTTCCTTTGCACACATCCCTCCTTTCCCCTCAAGATACTTTTTTTTTTTTTTGGCTTTTTCGACACAGGGTTTCTCTGTGTAGCCCTGGCTGTCCTGGAACTCACTCTGTAAACCAGGCTAGCCTCGAACTCTTGAACTCAGAAATCTGCTTGCCTCTGCCTCCCAAGTGCTGTGATTAAAGGTGTGTGCCACCACCGTCTGGCAAGATACTTTTTTTTAATTACAAAGGGAAAGCAGTGACTTTAAAGTGTAGAAATCTGGCGTGCAGTGCTTTGATTAAATTATTAAGTTCATACTATTACTGAATGGTACATGTTAAGGTCCTATACATTCTGGTAGGATGCTCTAAGAAGCAGAGTTTGATTTGTACATTATTTCTCTAATCATAACACGAGAAAAACTAAGGCAGAAGAATTGCAAATTCTAGGCCAGTCTGGGCCACACATAGTGAGTTCTAGTCAGTATGGGGTTACATAGGGAGAGCTGTCTTACACAAAGTTTATTTTTTATTTTTTTAAATTTGTTTTACACAGAGTTGCTTAAGAAAATACATTCGTATATAGTATTCTTGCCAGATGTATATAAACTGGAATCCCTAGAAAACAAACAAAGGCCCATTCATCTCCCAGCATTTGGGAGGCAGACACAAGAATATCTCTGTGCATTCAAGGTCAGCTTGGTCTACATAGAGAGTTTCCTGGTCAGCCAGGAAAGACCGTGGAAATACTTCTAAATAGAAAGACCGTGTCTCAACTCCCCCAAAAAATTACAAAAAAAAAGATTAAAACTGAAACCAATTAATATAGGTAATAGGAGACAGAATATGAAAAATGTGAAGGGACTGTAATTGGAAGTGAGATAATAGATCTAAACCTCTGGAGTTTTAGCACCAGTTTAGCTGATGACTTATGTAAGGTCGGTGTCTCAGCTCTTCTTTGTAGAGTCCTAAACCTTCCTCCAAAGAGTTATCTCCCTATTTTGTAAATCCTAGTCTATGGCAGCCATCAAGCTTGAAACTACATTTCCCAAAGGCCTTTCTCTTTTCTCGCAGGAAATAGGATTACAATTTCTATAGGTCAACCTCCAAATCTCGCGACATCTCACCAATTCTCATTAGGCATTCCCGCTGAAAGCCATTTTGTTTTTCAGGACTCTTTGCAAGGGTAGCTGGGGTAAATTTGCACCAAGGTAGCAGCTGTAGTAGCCGCAGTTCCATCTCCGATTCCACGATGTTGCCCTTGGCCAAAAACGCACTAAGCCGTCTCCAAGGTGAGCAGATAATGTGGGCGAGTCCTCTACAACACCTGGGATCCGTCTGTCCTCATGCTCCCGTGCCCTTTTCCTCCGCCCCGAATCCTGCGGTTTTAATTCTAGGTGCAGGAGTCCCCGTGTGGTCTCCAGTCACTGGGAAGATAGCCATGACAGCGGTAGCCGTGACAGTGGCTTTATCATCCTGTCCTTGTGTTCCTAACCTACTTATGTATTCTCTTTCTTCAGGGACCGATGATTTCCAGGAAGAACGCTTTGGCGGACACCTTGCTCTTTTTGCGATGTTGTAAATTTTAGCTTTGGGAGTGTATTTACATAGAACTGATCTCCTACAGTGACAGTAGTAGGAAACTAAATCTACGTCATCTGGATTCACAGCAAGGGGAAAACCCTGAGCCTGGCAGCTTTGAAGAAGTCGCTTGTAGATTATTAACGGAATATTAGTTATAACGAAAACAATCACGGTCATTTTTTCCTGCTTAAAAGTTAGGCAAGTACATGGAAATTTGAGATTAGTATTGTATGTGGAGAATACACTGGGCTGGAAAGGAAAAAAAAAGTAATTTTCCTAACTGCTTTCCCGTGAAGGTGACCTTCAGTAATGTGAATAAAGGTGACCTTACACAACTACCTTTAGCTTGCTTCTCTAGTCGTGGATTTAGGTTTATTTTACAGAGATGTTAGGAGAATCACATGCTGTGTTCTAAGCACTGAAGTACTTTGGGAATAATTGAAAAAATAGGAGCCCAACTGATCTTTCATCTGCCACAAGCTGTGTTTATTATTTCTTTCACTTTGGACAAATGATTTAGCTTTATAAACTTGTTTTTGTAAAACAGACCTTAGTAAATAATACCTATTTCATAAGATCATTAACCAATCTCTGGTCATTAAACTTTTTGTTTTTTGGAGTAGAGGAGAGACTTTAAGGAAATCCATTTGAGCCGGGCAGTGGTGGCGCATGCCTTTAATCCCAGCACTTGGGAGGCA